TTTCTACAAGTTCACCTTCGACCAGGATTCACCTTCGAAACACTTTATGAACATCACTCTGCCAGGTATTATTCTACGATATTGTGTTTCGTAGCTTAGGAAGCTGAAGGGAGGCGAAAAGAATGTCCAGAAAATTTCAAACTTCAGTTTTATTTGTAAAATCATTTGCTTATGCCGCTGATAATCTGTTTTTGTGTCAGAAACAAACGTTTATTCTTTTCTTTTTCTTTTTTAATTGAAATTAAATTAAGCTTTTGAACAAATTTCTAGAGTTAACCCTAAAAGCACTGTACAGGCCACTTGTTTTATTTTATTTTTTAAACTGAAGTTAAATTAAGCTTTTCAATACATTCCTAGAGTTAACACTTTGCACCCTAAAATCACTGCACAGGCCACTTGTAATTTTTGTTTTTTAACTGAAATTAAATTAAGCTTTTCGACAAATTTCTAAAGTTAACCCGAAAATCACTGTACAGGCCAGTTGTAAATTTTATTTTGTTAACCTGTTAAATGGGTTCGTTTGCCACAAAAAAAAATTGATTTCCTTTAGTGCATAATTTAAAATGGGAAGAAATTGTAAGCAGTTATTTTGCGTAACTCTACAATTAAAAATGAGGAATTTATGAATAAATCAAATATTATGGTCGATTTAATGGATCGATTTATTACGAGTTAATTCGTCTCCTCCAGGCAATAAACTAAGGTACTTCATACGTAAGAAACATTGTAAAAGTAATTTTGTTAAGTTGGATTGATAATTGTTATTTCTAAACGAAAATCATTTTTAAATAATTGAATTAGCAATTAAAAATGTTTTAAAGATACTATTTTGTTCTTTAGGAGAATTCCGGAGAAATTGTCTGTAACTAAGAAGTTGTCGATACTCTTTTTAAGGAATTTTGTATATAGCAATTATGAAAAGTATCATTTTTATTCTTTACAAACATCATAATCATGTTTCTGTCTAGCTTTTATGTCACAATCACACTGATAATGACACAGCATAGATAAAATACTTTTTATATCGTTGAAAAAGCATAGATAAAACATGTAATTAAAAATTAAAAAAATTCAAATTGATTATTTCTATTGTACTCACAATCAACAAATTTTCAATTGCAATTAAACCTAAATAGGGTGGATGAAGATACAAATTAAGCACATCTATTCATTCAAAAATTCACGTCTGATCGTACCCGTGAATTATCTAAAAGAAAATATAAAATATTACAAAATTAATTATATTTTACTATATTTTCAAACATAATTTTATTTTCAAACATATTTTTATACTTTATTTTAGATAATTCGTTATATATTAAACTTTTGAATGAATTATGTCTCTCATTTTTGTCCTCAAAAATTAACCGATATTTTATTTTAGATAATTCGTGTGTACGATTAGATATTAGATACTCTCATTTTCGTCCTCATTTACCTGAGTTTAACTGCAATTAAAAATGAACTGATTACGAATGCAGTAGAGATAATCGATAATCAACGCCTAATAGCGTAATTATAACAGACACTTTTAATTTTAAATATAATTCCGTCCGAATTTTCAAGCAGAGTCAGCGCAACCCTCATCCAGGATTCGCGTGACGTAACATCCTTTAAGTTCCAGCAGTTAAATCCGTCAAAGTCTTCCAAGTGTAAGCTGCTTGATCAGGGATCTGAGGAGCCCCCGAAAGTGTGTCCCCTCCGGTGGACATGTATTTACGTTAGGCGTCACTTGAACATGTTAACTTGGACGCCGGTATGTCCACAGATCCCTGATGAACTCTGAAAGCTGTACACCCAACGGAAGTTAGCCCTAAAGAGACCTCCATAAGCCAGTCGTAATACTAACGAAACATTCAAATTTCAAAGTCCAACAGGACGCTATCTGATACTTGAAAGAGTAAATGTTTTCCTGGACATTTCGCAGGAGCCACGCATGCAGACGATTTGCCGTACTTGTTCTATTCGAATCTAGCAAAAACGATAGGTATGAGTGCGCCGGAAGTCGGAAGCCAGAAATACAAGATGACAGAGTGCTTGACACAACTATGGACCGATTTCGCGAAAACTGGGTAAATTTGTTTTTCTTCTTTTAGTATAATAATTTCTTCGAAGGAACGTTTGTGAAATTTTCTTCGTTGAAATTGCCTCGAACGACTTGGTGACGTTTCTTTCAAATGTTTTTTTCTCGTTGAAGAAATCCAACGCCAAAGATCACGGACCTGATCACAACGACTTGGAAACCGGTCGAGAAATCGAACGTGTACAATTATTTGAACATTAACGAGACGCTTGTAATGGAGACTAGCGAAAAAGAGGGGCAGAGGTTCGATTGGAAGAGAATAAAGAATAAGCTGTAACGTGGAATGTGAATAATGTTAAATGTATTAATAGCCGTATACTTCGATCGAACATTTTTATTAAAGATAGATATTTACATCACGATAGCAGGACTATATTGATGGACACAGTTGGTCATTTACAATTTCTGCAATTTTGCTTTGCTATTTTTTACGTCTCGTCGCATTGTATTTTTTTCTATATGTGTAAATGAATAAACGAAGGAATTGGCTATCTTTACTCATGACCTGATGCATTTTATTTCAACCGTATTCGTTATGCTAGAAAACAACTCTAATTTTGTCTTAAAAAGAATCATTATCGACTATTCTTTGTTAGAACAGAAATGAAATAATCGAATGATTGTAAATACGGTAAATATTTGTCATTATTCTAACATTTCAATTCTGGTTAGCAATAATCTCCCGAGAGGTTAAATATAACGCTTGCCCTACTGTTTACTCGCCAACCGCACAAAGTCGAATGAACGAACTCGCAGCGCTGGACTGCTGCCAGAGAAACGCACGTCACATATAGTCACGCATGCGCAGAAGAATTTGTTGTCGCGCAATTGTTTCCAACATCGGAATTGTCAAATTCGCTCGATTGTCTTGACAAAAATCATGTGAAAACAGACTTAAACGGTGTTAAACGTGCGAATGAATATATTGGAATAAATGAATAATTAAAAATCAGCCTTAACGCGACGGATTGTCGCGCTCTGCGAATCCGCTTAGTTTTCGCGAGCCTAACCTAACCTATGCTCGCCGGAAAAACATACGAGTGACGTTTGAGATTAGTCAACGCTGACCTGGCTTCGTTTCGCAGCGAGATTCTGTTTCGTCGCGAACTTCTCGTTGTGCATTCACCTTCGAAATTATGGGTAGTTAAAAATCCTCTGTAAACAGCCGAAACCGCTCACAATTTCCACGGTAAATCCCGAGTGTTCCTTACGAAGCGTCGCGGGAAAGAAAGATACCTACAGAGAAAATTCCGGCCGGCTTCGATCCACGATCGCTGTTCTGTCGACCATTCATCGATCACCATCGCCAAGGTATGTAGATAAAGGTACATACAGACATTTTGTTTGTTCAGTTATCAACCGTGCAAACGAGTCCACACGTACTGCTTTACTGCTTAATATAAATTATTCCTTTGTCCGTTTGTCGCTTACACGGAATTATTTCGCGAGATTTATTTCGCGTTATACAAGGTGGGTCGTAAGTAACGGAAGCAGCTGTATTTTTCCCGGAATCTGTAACCGGAGTACGCGATAAGTGTAACAAGCTGTTTTCTTCATTGGTAACTGTCGATTAGCGGCAATAAAATTATCTCTATTTTTCTTTTATTTATGGCATTCAAGGTGGACCGGGATTTATTTTTCGTGCTACGGGTGGTACCGCTGGCGGCTCTCTCTTTCTCTCTTTCGAGGGGAGTTCGATCTTACCTTTTTTCTCGCGGAATACGGGATACCTAAGTTGTTTTTCTTAATGTTCTTTTCGTGGTGCCTTAGGTAATATAAATATTATACGGTAGATATTCTATCGGAATGTACGATAAATGCTTTATTCTTTTTTTACTTTCGTATATTTTTAGACTCTGATCTGTATATTACATCATTTACAGTTGTTAAAAAGAATTAAACGAAACTAGTTCCTCTTATTTTTTCATGTAATTTCGTATGAAGCTGATATTCATAATTTAAAGGTGTAAAAAGTTTCAATAAAAACGCGTCTTTTAGTCTCTCAAAGTGGCAGCAGTGGTATCACATTTACCCACGTAAAAGAATTCAAGAGACCCGAAATAATAAAAAAAAAAAAATATGTTTTCCTTATTCACAACGCTTTTTAACATTTTATACGAAAACTGACGAAATAAAATTCAACTTTATTCTATTTATCAAAAATCACGATTCTATTCATAATAAAAAAAACTTTCTGGAAGTAAATTTTACTCAACAAATAATATCCAATGCTTATCAAAGTTGTCAAAGATCGATCGCAATATTAATCGTGATATATCTGTGCCAAATCAACGAAGATTACCCAAGGTGAAAAACAATAATTAAAATAATCCTCGAAGGGGTAACAGCTTTGAGGAAAAATACTATGAGTCATCAAATGCACATGTGTTAACGTGACGTAATAATTTGTAGAAAGGAACATGCTGGCCCATTCTATAGAAAGATCTTCAACCATACCAGGAAAAATAACCTTCGTTTCTACCCGGACGACGATTTTCCTCGTTTAATTTTTCTCCAACGAGAAACATTTGTGTCTTTTTCACTCGGGAGAAATCTTCGTTCGCCTTTGAATGCAGATAAATCATTCGCGAGCGAGCGGAGAATTTGAAAACTTTCTGCGACATTCATTCCGTGTCTCTGCGAACGAAGGAAACGGAAGGACGGGACGAGGAAAGGAGAGATAGCCATCGGTTAGAGATGGGAAGATCTTTCGTTTCCTTATCTTCGGTTAATTCACGGAACTCCATTTACCGGCGCGCGGCGTTCTTGGTAACGGCGTATATATGTACATTGATGCGACGGAGAACGAAACGAAATATCGATTATTTTCACCCAATGCAAATTTTCAGAACGTCCCTATATAGTGGCCATACGGAAAGTGTAAACATTGTTAGTGACGAACGCGCGCAAGGTGCCACTGTTGTGCACGTGACGGTTGCGTGTAATAAAGCATGTCCATCAGCCGGTAATCGAAAGTCGGCAGTTTCCTTTTTTTTATGCACGCGAATTAGATTCAGTAATCAATTGTATATGTAGCGGAAAAAATCTAGTCGAACGTCAATCGAAACGGAAATCGTTAATTTTAAAATACTTAACTAGTACAAATCCCTCGTTTCACAAGAAATATATAAGTAATTAATAATATTGTTAATATTATAATAATAATAAAAATTCAGTACTGGAATAACTAAAAAAAAAATATTAATTCGTAGAAAAATTTTTTCGATTATTTGTAAATACCGAATGGTCCAGTATTCCATCCGTTAATTTTTGAACACTTCTCCACGATAATAACGATTTCATTCTCAACAGCACCTAGATCGACTCCATCCAAGGGAAAATGGTGCTTCAGACGCCTTATCTGGACGCCATTCAGGCGGTGCCCGGCGCCACTCTCAGCGAAAAGTTCAGATGGTTAGCTGGCTTTATAAAGCAGCGAATCTCCGAGTGCAACAGCCTCGAGGATGTGGTGGAATCCGAGAAAATCCCGAGACACCTGGCGCCTCTTGTGCAAGTGCAAGCCGCGATGATGATGAACAAAAAGAATCGCGCTGACCAGAGCACCTACGGGGCGATAGCTGAAGCCCTCAAGTCAAAGGACGAGATTGTGGTGACGAAGGCACTTCAGGCCAGGAGTTTCTTCGATGGAAGCAACAAGGCGATCACCAACGTTCAGTACTTTTTCGAGAACCTGTTTCCGTACGTTTCACTGAACACCAGAACGCGAATCATTAAGAATCTGTCCATTCATCTAGCACCCAAGAATTCCGATTTGGCCAAGGAATTCTTCGTGGCTGTGGCCTCGTGTTACGGCATCGAGCAAGCGTTACCACTGTTGCTGGCTTGTAACGAGACCTTCGCTTACGACACTGTCGTAAAAAGGAGGATCATTTTGAGCCGGAAGCTGGTGAAGCAAATATTCCGCAAGAATCCAGACTTCGTCGTGCGTTATCTGAGACTGAGCAAGCCAAACACCGATCCCTACGTAAGGAACCTTCACAAGGTGGACATCTACGATTACAGAGACTTCCTTGCCGCTCTGGTCAAGAAAAGGACCGACTCGTTCGTCGAGCTGTACGAGATGCACAAGAAACAACCACCGAGCATGACTTTGAGCAGCAAATGCGCCGAGGCGTTTCTGAAGAACGGCAGGGAACATCTGCAGCGAAATCCCAAGCTGTACATAAAGATATTGCCGTTGAAATTAATCAGCAGCAGCCGTATGGAGTCGATATTTGTTAAATTATTCCCCAAGGACGCGAAGAGTTTCGATACCAACGAGATGTTGAATTATCTGAAATACTATCCGCAGGATAAGAAGGTTGACTTCTTCTTGAAGTCTTATCAAGAGGTCTACGGTACAAGCATACTGGACGACAAAAATAAGATAACTTTGAATCTGATGGGTATACTGCCTGTCGAGGAACGTGTCAGACAAGCTAGAATTAAACTGGAGAGTAGTCCGGATTTGTTTGTAGGACTGGATTATCATTTATGCTGGTACTGTTACCTGCCCATCGAGGAATCGATGCCACGGTTGAAAGACGACATGGCCAAAACCACAGAGATGGAGTACAGATCGGTGATAGCTTGCAAGATGATCTTCACGTGCAAAGTGAACAACGACGATCAGGCTTTGTTAGAGGTACTGACCTACTTCAAGAACAGACACAAGAACGAGCAAATTTGGTTTCTGATGAAGGTCTTCGAGACTTTACTGAAACACTACGATCTTCCGCAATTAGGCAGGGAATATTGGGAGATCCTAACGGAGATGATCGTGCGTGCTCACGTGAAGCAAGATCTCTACGGAAATTCAAACGGTCTACGAATGGTAGAAAATGCAATCCATCACAACATCCTCCAGAATCAACCGATCGATCGAATGATCGATATCCTCGTGGACATCAACAGCAGGAGATCCACGAACTACTGGAACATCCTGGTAGAGCACCCTAAGTACGAGAGATTGTGTCTGGAGTCTTGTCTGAACGTGGTCTCGCAGAAATACAAATCTGACAAGAGTCCTTGGAAGGAGGACAGGATGGGGATCCTGTACGATCTCTGCTCGTCGATCTACTACTTCAACGACATTCACGTGAGCAAAACTAGCCGGGTGGAGCGTATGTCGATAAAGAATTACCCGTGGCTGATTCACGCTGTCGGGGAAATCGCGTCGAGTACCGAGCCGAAGAATGCCCATATCGTCGGCAAGCTGCAACAGCTACTGAAGATCCACGAAAGCGACCTGTACGAGCGTTTCTGGTTCACAGAGAAAAAGATCGCGAACGTCGAGACCGGTGAAGCTTTGAAGTTGCTGAGGAGGAACCCGGAGGATATTCTATCTCACTGGACGGAGTACTTGAAAGCTTGTCAGGATACTTGGTCCAGAGGTCACACGAAACGCTTCGTTAAGGCTACGCGCTGGTACAACGACCTTCCCATGAAATTCGTCGGTCAGTGTCTTCAGGACTTAACGCAGAAGAAGAACGCCAGAAGTGTGGACATCTTGGCCATGCTGTTGCACGGCGAGACATTCACGAAGATCATAGAACCGCTGATTCCAAACGACAAGACGATCGACATTCACAACGAAGAGGCGCAGTCCAATTATGATCTGATTCTATCTATCATTTACGGTATGAAGGTTGCCAATCCACCGGTACCCCTCACATTGATAGGCAAACTATGCGAGGGAGATTATTTATCCGTGGCCCTGGCAGCTCTGATAAACGTCTGCAGACGAACGAACGTCATGGACGTGGTCGTGTTTGCTCGAACGTTAGCCAACCAAAGGGTGTCGGTACGAAAACACGGGATAAGACTGATGCACATGGTTGCAGCGCGTGATCAACTGTACAATTTTCTGCACACGCAGTGGAAGTCAGAGCAGAATCACTCTATCCGAGAGATCCTGTTCAAAATGGTCATTCAATTGTTCAAGAACGATCCTGTACCAACCACTTGGTCCCTTATCGTCCAGGTGATCTCCTCTTTAACGCTGAAGGACGAAGTGTCGTTCACCGGGGTATCGTCGATGGTGAACGTGGTGCCTGACGAGTACGTGGTCGAGTTTGAGAAGCTGGTCTTGTCGACGATAGACAAGTTCCAGGCGGAGGGTATCAGCCAATGGAGATGCGTCATCCACACCAGAACAATGTTGAGCAACATCGACGCAGCAGTTTGCAATCTTCTACCCGATGATTTTATCAAGGAACTGATCACAAGGTTCCTCTTTCACCAAGAGATCGAAGTGTCGCGCAGCGCTTCGGTATTCGTGATTACAGGACTGCTGCTACCAACCAGGGATAACTTCGACGAACGAATGAAGATCTTTTCGAGCGCGTTCACAGAGGCTGTGAAGACCGGTTGGAACGTGCCGCATCCCCAAAGACCACGTTTCTACCCGGTGAATCACACGGTTCACGAATTCATGAGCCAGGTTGTTCGCACGGTCTCCTCGAGCTTGTCGGAGGCGGAGCTACCTTTGATCGACGGAATGCTGTCCACGTTTCTATCTTTATTGTCGCCGCAAATGGACGCGATGTCGTACCTGTTGCTGGTGTATACCAGAGAAATGTTGTTCTCGAAGACACCGAAGGAATTTGGAACGAGGATCGGAGGGAAGTTACCGGAGCTTGTGAACATATTTTCGTCGTTGTTCATATTCTACATGGCGGATAATCTGCGTTACATACTGAGTTTGAACACGTTCAAGGATTACACTAAGAACGACGTGTTTCTGAGCGTAACCGAGGGTCTGATGGAGGTCGAAACGATCGAGGCTGCGTTGATAGGTGTGCAAATGCTCAGGCTATGCATATCGAAGGACAACGCGGAGAAGTACGACAAGCTTGTGACGACGTTCTCGAAACACGATCATCCGGTGATCAAGAGTATCGTCTGTGATATTATCAATAGGGCGAAATTCAACGATTAAGAAAGTTGTCTTAGGCCGGATACAGCAGGAACGTGGGACTGGTGTTGATCGTTGGCTCCGATCCTTGTCATTTCGTGGTCGCTATTTGCTCTTGGGTTAAGAGAGTAGTAGGATTGTCGGTGAAGAGAAGCGAATGGAAGAAACGGGTGCTTGATATAACGAAGCATGGTTTCATTAATTTTACGGCGAATTTGAAAGTCGATTAACTCGATCTTTGTACGTTTCGATTTAGGAGGTTGAAAGTGACGAGATAAAGCGCACAGTTGGGGTGATTTATTTTCTTAACAGATATATTTTTTCACACTTGTGTTACATATGTAACGAACACGTAAAAATGTTTGCAGCACGCTCGAAGGTCCTATTTTCAAGGATCACTGATTGTGATACTAAGACACGGGTGTTACGTGTGCATTTAATTATACATTCGAGGCATATAATAAAGTGTACTGCAAAGGGTTGTCTCGATTTTATTTCACCTTGTTCGAACTACGAAATGAAAATAAATGAAAGATCACACTTACACGAGGCGTCGAAACCGGTGATGAAATTTGGACAGGGAGCATAAGCTGTGCTTCCAGCTGGAGTGTCTGGCCAGCAGGACCATCCGTCGAAGGTCATTCGACAGTATGATTCTAGAAAAAGAAAATGATTACAAAGACACTTTAAATTAATCGTCGTTCTCATTATTTTCAGTGAATTTTTCATCCTTCGTTTGATTTTTATACGTAAGAGGGTTGTGAAAGATTCGTTCTGTCGGAGTTCGTAGTAATTTGAGTGCTCTATTTTATTCTGTTCGTGGTGTGCGCGATAGAAACAAGGGATTACCGTGTAATATTTTTCCTTTGATATTTACGGAACGCGTTCCATGTGTATACGTATATAGACAGATTTGTTGAAACGGAGACTTTTATAAAATCACTTTGATTCGAAATAATGTAAGAGTGAGAAGAAACGTAATGCATTAGGAATATTAATAGATAAATAACGATTTAAAGTTACTACGGTGTTGTAATCGTGAATAGATCAAACCTTTTATAAATCCTTATAATTTTGCGTAAGAAAATTAGAAATGTAATAATTTTTATTATGTTGAAAATTGAAATTCCAATTTATCCGTGTTTTTTTATATTGTTCGTAGTTTATACGTGTAAATTTACACGAAGCTAGATTAACATTTTGTAAAAAAAATATATTATTTTTTAATGTAACATTTGAATAAATGAATTTTTTCAAAATCTGTTTACACAGATGAATGGCTCGTTTAGAAACGAGCTAATAGTTTACCGAAACAGTCTGAAATACCAATTACGCCTTTAACTGTAAGAGCTATTTTCACTCCTTCAACATGGATTTCGGATCGTAAAAAAAGTACGTGTCAAATATTTTTCTGAAAACTACATCGTACGTAAGTTTCATCAAAATCGGCGACCTACACTTGGTACCTAACTCTTTTTTTCCAATAAAAAATACGAACGAACAAAAAGACTTCAAAAAAGATCCGAATTTCCACGCAACAAATTCTTTTCCATTCGTTGAAAAATTCTTTTTCATTCATCGACAAATTCTTGAAAGAAAAGCGAATCCACTTTAGTCTCGTAGTTATCTTCCAGCGAATTTTCCACAAGCTCTCGTACGTTGAATCGAGGCAAATCGGAGATCTTTTGTTGATTTCTCGAAAATTTTACCTCTGTCCTAATCTTCGCTCGTATTACACAACGCGGTGCAATAATAAGGTGAACGAAAGAAGAAAAAACAAGGATCTCCTTTGAGTGTGTTAACGTCGCGCGGAATAACATTCCTCGTGTTCTTTTCGCGTGAACGCAAATCCTTCTAGTTTTCATTTCCGCCGACGGAATTCTGTCTGCAGCTAATTAAAACGTCGCTGTCCGGCTTCTTTGCCGCGGAAATCACTGTGTCGGACACTTTCGAATCACGCTCCGGAGGTTAACTTAATTCGCGCTGTAATAAACGTTGCTTCACCGACCAAATTGGACGAATCTTCTTACACGACTTCTCGGGGATTTGGGTATAGAAGCTCGGGGTGAATTTAGCGAGTGTGCAAGTTCACGGAGGTCGCATGTTTCGTCGTTCAGAGCAGAAAAAGCTGAGGTGCGAGGTGAAAATATTTAGGAAAGTACATTTACCCCCAAAAATATTCTGATACTAACAAACAACCGTTAAACATGGTGCAGGTAAAAAATTATGTATCATGCAAATTGTATACATAATATTTAAAAATATTTTCAGGTACTTATAATATTTTATCAACGTTTAAAGATAGTTTGAAATATTACGAATGTTCAATTTTGAAAATATTTAGGAAAGTACATTTCCTACCAAAGATATTCTGATATTAACATGGTGCAGGTAAAAATTATATGTCGTGTAAATTGTGTACATAACATTTAAAAATATTTTCAGATACTTAGAATGTTTTATTGATATTTTATTAATGTTTAAAAATAGTTTGAAAAATTATGAATATTCAATTTATTTAGGAAAGTACATTTGCTCCCAAAAATATTCTGATACTAACAAACAACCGTTAAACATGGTGCAGGTAAAAATTATATACATTTATTTTATCATATGATATTTTATATTCAAAATATTCAATTTTGTTAAATGTTCGAATACTTTAGTAACAGTAGTTAGACATAATTTCGATTAATTAAACTAACAATATCGTCCCCTTATACTGTTACCATGAATTTGCGATACGATAATTATTGTCATATTCTGTCTTTGCCAAAAATTTGTCATATTCTATTGCCTCATTTATAATAGATATCACAAAAGATTCTAATATAAGCGCAGCAAGGTAAGTAATTTAATTTTAATATACCATTTTTAATTTTTCACGACGTATTCATGATTTTGTAATAATAATTAAACTATTTTATTTTTGTAATAATAAATGAACGTACTAAAAGAAAAATTAAGCTTTCCATCGTGTTTTTTTAAATTTGTATCTTATTGTATTATATATTTTTTTAGCTCTTTGAAAAACTGTAAAATGTTTGCTAGAGATATTTGCAAATTTTAAAAATGAAATCTATTAAACGAAACATTCAGAAGTATGATTCTCTCAAGCACACCAAGGGGCAACGCTGTTTTTTAAATTCTACTTTTCTCTCTCGCATTCTCGTGTAAATTTAAATAGACGGAGCTCTAATAGACTTCGAAAGTGCGCTAAAAGATCGTTCAAGAAACTTCAAAAGTAACGAGCCCCCAATTGCGCTGTAAAGTACCCCGGTATTCCTCTCGTTTTCTCCACAGAGGCCATTTTTGCGGTAATTAGACTGAATAAAGTATATAGGTACTTATCTCCGTTACTCTACTTTGCAACCACGCGAACACAAGAAAAAAATGTTAACAGTACAGATAACTTCTCCAATTACCAAATATTAAATTAACGAAAAATTCTTGAATACGAGATAAAAATTCACATTTTCTTCTCATGATTTATATTTCACAGCTTTTATTCTTCAAAGTTTCACCATTTCACACGGTAGAATTATTTTACTATTTAGGACAGAATTTCTGGCACAACTGTGTAAACACGACGAAATGTTTTAGAGGTTAATTAAATTCTTCGTTGTAACGTTCGAATATTCACGACGAACAAAGTCGAACGTCGATCTCCACTCGCGCAGTACTGTGAATTTTCTGCAAATTACGATCGCCGGTGACTATTTCTGTACTGTTCGACTGATAAAACGTCGTTTCACTTGCTCGGTAATCAACATGGCGGCGAAGTGCGACAAAATGGACGCCGAATGCTTGGTAAATTTCCGCGTAGAATGCCGTGAAATTCGGACAAATTGAACATTACGCGTCCCTGCTGGCGCAACAATAAACGGGAATGTTTGAATCGCGTATACGAGAACGGTACATGCTCCAATCGTGACAAAACGACGGAAATATTATTTACCGATTTGCCGGGACAGGTGTTGCGTCAATGTGAAACGGACGATATCGATTTACCATGAGAGTATAACCTCAAAATTTCACAATTAAAAATTTTTCTTCGAATTGTTCGAATAGAATTGTTGGATTATATTGAAAGTTTTCCAAATCCAAAGGTGGACTACCTAATTAAAAATATTTGCGATTCGAAGATTGAAAGATTTTTGATACGATTTAAATAAATATTGTATAATTATGCTACGAAATAATTTTTTTAATTTGACAGATTTTTACATTGTTTTCACATTTTACGCAGGGAAGGATATACAAAACGCAACGAGAAAAGTACGTTGTGTTAATGTGAAACGAATGATATCAAGTTACGATGGAAATATTGTCAGAATTTGATCTGTGATTTAAATCAATTAACGTGACAAATTATTCGATTATTTTTAAAGTTTCTGTAAGAAATAAAATAAAAATGTATTAATGTTAATGCAATATATTTGTGATTTAAATGACGATTTTTAAAATGTTCCATAATTATACTCGGAAAATAATTTTTTCACCTTGGTAGATTGTTTTCACGTTTCATGCAAAAAATGATGCGAAACGTAACGAGAATATTGTTCACATATTGGAAAATTTGTGGCGTTAACATGAAACTGTGATTTAAATAAAGATTTAATTCTTCCTTTAAAAAAAAAATGTCTATATTAAAATAGAGTTTTTCATTAATTTCATGAAACGTACAAGTTTATTTACTGGATTTACTTTGAAGTTCCTAGTAGAAAAGGAAGGCAACATCGATTGGCACGTTCCATCCTCCTACTGATGAGACACGTGACGAAAAGTGCTTTAACCAAGATTATACGCTTTCAATCAGAGTCGAATGAAATTAATACGGCAACGTGTTCGAAGGATCGAACGAGACCGACGCGACGAGAGGCGATCCAGCTAGAAAATAAACGGCTGTTTTTACGAGATTCAATCAGACTCCTTGAATGATGGCTCCTTTTCTACGGTTGCTGTTTGGAGAAAGAACAAGGACCAATTCCCTTCTTCCGACAACGGAATCTTTGGTTCCAGCATGGAGAAACTCGATCAATCTCGAGGAACATAAAATCGCGGAGAAAGACAAAACGAAACTTAAAAGGGGAATATTACTGAAAGAGCTTCTATCTTCTACAATTTTAATCCCTTTAAAGAACACAAAATTGTAAAAAAAAGACTAAAGCAGAAAGACGTATCGTAAGAAAGGTTATACCGGGTGTCTCTTAACCAGCGAATTCACGTGAGAAAATAAATAGAAAATTTAGAGTAACATTGAAGAGTGGCACATCTAAAAAAATGTACCATAGTTAATCAAAATCTCCGTGTCTCCAGGTGAGATATTTCAGATTAACGGTTACGTACGATTGGAAGCAAAACAAGAAAGGCTATCTATCACTGAACTGTCGCGAGCCCGCATCTACGTTGCGAGCTGGCTCTCCCTCTCTGTCAAACTTTTCATTCATTAACTCCGTGCATTCGTCTGAGAAGTTTCCGAGCGAGTGTCACGCGTAGAGAGAAGGGCATGATTCAGTGAGGGTGGTCGATTTATGCAGAGGACACGTATCCTTGATTAATGTAAACGTCGCCTGTTCCACTTACGACTTACGACCGTACATACGGGGGACGCGGTTCACGGAGAAATTGCCGGCTGAAGTTGGTAATTAACGTG